ATGGACACAAGAAGACAAACGAGGCCACAAGCGTGATAGCTCAAAGGGGGTTGCTCCTTGCATAGACCGCGGTCAAAGTGCTTTGACCGGTCCATGATGCAAAGTGACAGTGACAAGGAACAGTGACAAAAATATTTTAAACATAAATAAAACCGTAGATATGTCCTAAGGCCTTATGCTAACAGGTTGATGGTCTCAGTTTTTGAATTTATGGACTGTATGACTAGTTTTAGACAAAAAAACAAAAATGTCCGAAACAAGCTAATTAGCATTTTAGAGTGGAATGGAGCGAAGTTGAAAATTTGGGCTTGAAATTTTGGCCACGCGCACGGACCACAACGTGATCTGACTCACGGGCACATGATAAAACTTTGTGAATTTCCTGAGTCATCAAATTGACCTCGAAATGCCAAAATTGAATCGTAATTACTGTTTAAAGAATCTAGGAAGTTATGTGAACATTGATATGTGTTGGGGATTTGCTAAACAGATTTACCGCAAGTTTCCGAGTACCACCAAGGAAGCAGATTTGAAGGTAAATATGATTAAGTTGCTTGACTCTGTTCCATTAATATCGATGCACAAGTAAGTTAAATTTTACCCATATTTCCTCTATGCTTGGACTCAAAAAAACTCTCTATAGATTCTCAAACCATTGTGACCACTTCATTGATGCTTACTGCAAGGGATTTTCAGGCAGCATGGCAGCATGGGCAACCAAAAAGTATCACGGACACAGGGTGATTCCAGCAAATGTGGATGCACTATTAGCTGAATTTAATTCTAAACATCCTTCGAAGTAAGTACTTAGTCTACATTAAATATGGGACCTTTTTGTAGCCAATATTCCCTTATATATACTTGAATTTTTGTTGAACAAAATTTTGGCCGCGTGACCCGTGACATATCACGTGATGTCACGGTTGATGAAAGTGGATGTCGCCTACCTTACCAACTTGATGACAAAAGGAATAAAAGGTTGATCAAACTATCAGAAAGTGTTATATGGAAGTGTCAAAATATCATTGATGTGATAGATGTGAAATATATCAACAAGATGGAAAGATCAGAATAGGTAAGGGTTGAATAAACATAGTGTGAAGCTTCAAAATTTGTAGTGTGGAAGCCAGTTGTTATGGGATTATGTGGAAGAAGAATGAAAGAAGAAAAAGCAAATAAAAATCAAAATAAAAAGAGAAAACAAAAAAACAAAATACGTAGTGACCACCGCAGGGGTCGAACCTGCAATCTCCTGATTACCACATGCCGGGTAAGAAATCGTAGTCAGACGCGATGCCATTTCGCCAGGCGGCCTGCGTGAGAGTTGGGTGGTAGGACAATCGAGGATTCGCGCTGAAATATCAGTAGGAGTAGTATAAAATGATCACATTAGTCTAATTATAGGATTGACGTTTGACCTTTGGCCAAGTGACACTCTGGTTTCCAGGTGTTTACACCGTAGGATGGACATGGATTTATCATTTGTTACCCAGGTATGCGAGCTGTGCAGATGTGTAAATGTTTATGAAGGATGAATTCGTTGATAACGAATCTAGGAGGATACGAGGAGGATACGAAAATACAAGATGATATGATAAAATTGATACGATGAATCGATGACTCGGATAAGCTAATGAGGTTTGAATGCGATATATTGAAATATGATATATTGACAAGCGGCCGTTCTCCGTGTTGCTTGGACGGTGAATAGCTGTAGCAACCAAAGGGATTTCACGAGGGCTGGGCGAAGCTGTACTTTGAACGGAAGACCCGGGAGCTGGAGGCGGTGAAGGATATTACCCGAAGTTGTACATGTAATGCATATTAAATGAAAACATCGCACAACGACGAAAGGCTTGATCACTGCCAGCTGGCTGATCAAAAAGTAATAAATACTATGAGCTCTTTCTCTGTACCACCACCACCACCACCACCACCACCACCACCTTCGGGTATCCAGTTTTTTTCTTCTTCCAACGCGGGAACGACATCGGACCCAGGACTTCCACCACCACCATCACTGTTAGTGACACCCGACGGAGGAAGCGCGCCTCATCTAGAAGATCCATTGGCAGCACCAATACCACAAAAGGTGGATCCTGACATTCCTGCGAATGTGAGTAGGCCTTTGAATATGTATAAGAGAGTTGGCGCCTGAGTTTCGTATAGATGGCTAGGAATTTAGACGAACAATTAAGAGGTAGATATAATAATAATAATGGAGGGTACAATCCTGGTGGGTTTAGTATCCCTCATCCATCCAGATCGCCTCAAGCGCTGGGAGGAGGGCAACAACAATGGTCAGCTTGGTCGCCTGCGTTGCCTACACCACCTCATCCATCGTTGTCTCCTGCGCCAACCTTGCCTTATCCCAATCCAAATCCGAATTTGAATCTGGGTTTTAACCCACCTGAGAGTTATTACAGTCCAGTACATCAAGCCCATCGAGCAGTATCACCTTCACCGACGATTTCACAACACATCACTCATCCTACAAACACACATGAACCGACATCGACATCGCTCACAGCTCCTCTACCTACAATTCCCGCTCTCCAGTCTGCGATGAGCACCGTCCAGTTACCGAAGCACGATCCAGCGCTCAAGGTAGCTTGGGCGAGGGATGTGATGTTCCTCGTCGACAGGGCACATGCGATGGCCACCAATTCACCCATAGGCGATCCACCGAATGGTCCAGTGGAGATACACGACGGAGCGTTATTGAAACTCGCACAAATCGCAGTGCCAATGATCCTCGACATCGCATCCACGTTCTCAACCACGACTACACCGACAGCTCCACATGTATCCGAAGCCCTCTTCCACCGCGCCTCTCTCCTCGCCTCTGGTTCCTTTCCCGAATTCGCCCAGCGCAATCCCCGTCAGGCGTTCAGGGACTACGAAAGTGCCGCACGGGCAGGATACGGGCAGGCATGGTTCCGGATTGGAAGAGACTACGAGTCCTTTGGTGATCTCGTGCATGCAAAGGAGTGTTTTCAGAGAGGGGTAAGGTTAGGAGTAGGAGCGTGTTTGTATAGGATGGCTATGGCGCAGTTGCTTGGCCAGTTGGGGTTCAGTGTTGATGTTGATGGGGGGTTGGGAGTGTTGAAGAAAGCTGCGGTTGGGTCGACGGTTGAGACACCTCAGCCGGCGTATGTATATGCGTTGGTGTTGCTTGGAGAATTTAGTCAGATTAAGGTACCGGAGGATGTGTTTTTTAGGCTGGGGTTGGTTAGTTCGGAGTATGCGCATATGGGAAGTCAAGGGTGTGTTTTTTTTTTTTTTTTGAAAATAATCCGTTTTTCTCATTCTTATTAGGTTGCTGCTCGAAGCGAAAACCCACTTGACGCATTCCGCCTATCTACATTTTTCACCGGCGCAGTACAAACTAGGACATGCATACGAATTTGCGACGCCGCCGTTCGAGTTTGATGCGTTGTTGAGTGTCGAGTGGTATTCGAGAGCGAGTCAACAGGGAGAGACCGAGGCTGATATGGCTCTCTCGAAGTGGTTTTTATGTGGCAGTCGAGTTGGCGGTCCAGGTAAACTATCTCCCCCTCTTTTTTACTTCTCATTATGAATATTAAATCCCAGCTGGAGCAAACACTGATCCTTCACTCGGAGGATTCGACAAGGACGAACAGCTCGCGAAGATCTTTGCTGAAAAAGCTGCACGGAAAGGATTACCCAGCGCCGAGTTTGCAATGGGGTATTATTGTGAGGTGGGTATAGGAGGAGGGAAAGACTTGGAAGAAGCAAAAGGGTGGTATCAAAAGGTGAGAGAGAGAAAGAGTAATTTTTAAATTCCGTTCTCAGGTACTGACTTGTTCGTGTGCTCCCCCGTAGGCCCAAATCCACGGAAACACAGACGCCATTGACCGTCTCGCTGCACTTGAAAAACCAAGTCCGCAGATGCTTTCGAGGGAAGAACATGATACGATTACGGAGAGCAAGTTGGTGAGGACGAGGACTCAGGCGAAGCAGAGGAGTGAGGCGCAGAAGGTTAGGGATGGGTATTTGGCTGGGCAGGGACAGCAGGTGAACCAGAATCAAGGTGGTCAGCAACAGGGAGGTCTGCAGCAGCCGCCTCCGGGGTATCCGGGGCCTGGAGGGCCGAGTCAAGTATTAGGAGGATTTGGGGGAGGTATGCCACCCCCCGGCGGACAAGGAGCCCAAGGTGGAAGAGGAAACAGACGAGATTCAAGACCTGTAGTCGAGTTGATTAGGAAGAATACATTGGGGAGTTACCAACAACAACCGCAAGGTGGACATGGGAGGTATCATACTGACCAAGGGCCTAATCCTACGTATCCAGGACAGCCGGCACACGCGAGTACGTTGCCTCCTCAGGGAACTTATGGACAGGGACCGCAGGGAATGAGAGTAGGACCAGGCGGAGGAAGTGTAGGCGTAGGTCCAGGAGGAGTAGGACCTGGCGTTGGTCTAAGACCGGAAGCGGCAAGACAACAATCCCAATCTCAGTCGTACCCCAACGCGAACAGGTATACCCTCGTTGATCCTGGCTCTGGCTCGGCACCCCCGCGTACAGAAGTGGTTGGGAATGTTAATAATGCTCAGAGACCTGACTCGAGGTCGCCTTCTCGTGCTGGAGGAGGAGGGAGGCCACCGCCGAGGCGAGGACCGAGTGGGGGGGTGCAGGTTTCCGGAGGGGTTTCAGGGGCGGGCACGGGCACGGGGTCGGGGTCGAGGCCTGAGTCGCCTGCTACTGGTTTAGGTGTACAGCCAGCACCGGGAGCACAGGGAGCACAGAAATCAGCTGGTCCCCAAACGTTTGCTGAGATGGGCATCACAGGTGCGAAGGCTGAGGATGAGAAGTGTGTGATTATGTAGTAGTTGGTGGGAGGGAAAAAGTACAATCCTAGTCCGAATTCGAAATTTTAGCTTTTTTTTTCTGTGACACAATACGAAGTATGGGTTGCATAGTTGCCTTATTACACTTGTATGTCTTTAAATATACATAATGTTGGACTATTGAACTATTGATGTGTGTACTGGTGGCTGCTGCTTAGACCTTTTTTTTAGTATGGTTTACTATAGTAGATTCCGTATTCGAACTCTAATATGATGACCAAGGGTAACATTGATAACAAAAAGCTAGGTACAGTCAAACATCTCATATTGCATGGGGTCCGTGGACCCCAAATCCCATGCATTATGAGATATATGCAGTTCGAAGTATAGGTCACACCAGTGTCATATGTGACATATATGTGACATTTCCTATCTAGGTAGCTAGGCAGTATCGAAGTAATTTTCAAGTACAGTTTGCTTTGCGTTCAACAGTTGGTCTTTTACAACATGAGCACGAAACTTCCGAAGAGCCTCCTGTAAGACTAAACTCTGATCTGCATTTCCCTTTGAAATGCAAATCACCTCAAGCTTTTGACAACATTCTAGCATCTCTTGGGTTGACATCTCTATCTCCTCTCCTTCCTCCTCATCATCTTCAGCATCAACATCTATATGTTCCTTCTCACCACAAGCAACTGCCTGTTCATCATGCACCCTAGCAATGATCTCCTCATCATTCAAAATGTACTCTTCCTGACCAATTTCTTGCTCCTCTGCAGGGTCCAACAGATCATCGGTGGTTGGCATACCAGCAAGAGAAATCTTATGGCGTCGATGTAGCTCCAACACATTTTCCATGAGGTCAGTCTCCAGCTGTACCTGAGAAGAGATTGATGCATGTGTGACAGGAGCAATGGGTGTCAGCGACTCGATAGCTTTTATACTAAGCCAGGCGTCACAAAGTCGAGATAAACGAAGTGAATGAGGAGTAGATGGTCTTTGATTCAGGTC